ATTTAGCAGAGGAATTTATTAAAAACGCAGGAAGAGGGGGGGGAAACGTTGAGTGAGTAATGATTTTGAAAGCGCGCATAAATAAATGTTGGAGTGTTTAGGGAGAAGCGGACGTGAGAAGCAGAAGTTCCGGCACCCTTCGGGGAAGAGATAGGGGACTTGAGTCAGAGAGATGGAGAGAAAGGGGTGGAGAAGAGATACACAGATAAGTGGCCAGTTCCGTTCTCAGTTGGCTCCATTGCATTTTAGGGGACCAGGTAAATAGGGCAGAACACAGAATGGAGTTCAAATGGGGCACAATTTGATCGGTGGCCCAGATACTGGGTAGGGGTCGTCAGCGACCAGTTTAGCTCCCTGTCGTGGGTCCTGGCTCCGCTGAGGCTGACTATTCCTCAGACAAGGAAGAGGCATGGAGCAACCCAGCCTCCTCTGCCCAGAAGAGGGACCTTTGCCAGCACCTGAGGGAGAAGAGGCCCCAGCATCTGCTCAGGAGGGGCAGCAAGGCGAAGAGACTGAGGTGCAGTTAGAGGGGTCTGGTCCAGAACCTGGCCCGCACTCCCACTTGGAGACACCTCGAGACCAGAGGCCCCACCTAGCTCACCTGAATGTCCCAGAGGCAGGGCATGCCAGCATCTGAATGCGCAAGAGAGAAGGAGTGCCAGACTTCAGCCGCTGCAAAGGCAATGTGAGGGGCTGTGAGTCTTTGCAGGTTGCCTCCCAAGGAAGGGAGAATCCGGTCATAAGCAACCACGCTCACCTGCCTCGGTGCGGAAGCAACCCTGCGATCTCAGACCTCATCCCAGCTGCCAGCCTCCACTCCTCGCCCCTGAAAACTCTGACTGATTTCCCGGCATTCTGACCCTTGGCTCTGTTTCTCGGCTTGCTTTTGGACTGTGTATCCAGCTTTCAGTTAAGTGTATCCGTGGTGACCGACCAGACCCAGCACACTCCCACTCCAATAGGATCTTCAAGTGTAACCGCTAAGGATAGGGTAGGGTTGCCTCCTCTGAGCGTGGGCATTCGAAATTCCTGGGGAGGGGGGGGGGGGGTTTGGAGCCTTGGTGGGGTTGCCAACCTCCAGGAGGTAACTGGAGATCTCCTGGGATTACAACTGACCTCCAAGCGATAGAAATCAGTTCACCTGGAGGCAATGGCCACTCGGGAAGGTGGACTCCATGGCATTATGCACCCAATAGAAGTCCCTCCCCTCTCCAAACCACGCCCTCCTCAGGCTCCACCCCAAAATCTCCAGGTATTTCCCAACCCAGAGCTGGCAACCCTAAGCCTGGGAAAGGGAGGGACCATAGGGCCCATCGGCCATTTTCTCCAGGGGAACTGAACTCTGCAGCCCCCGTTCTTCAGAATTATGAATTGAATGGTGGCCAGTGAGCACAACATCGAGTAACGAAATCCGGTGGAGGCGGAGTCGTGGAAGGCGCGGTGACATGTCGGCACAGGCGCGGCGGAGCCGTAAATGGACGTTGGCCGGGGCTGTAGCGGACGAACCGCACACCAGGATGGGCCCGCCAGAAGAAGCCACCAGACAGGAAGACCTACTCCAGGACACCAGGGTCTGAACGCCGACACACGAAGACCGCCTGGAAGAAGGAGCCGAAAAACAGCAAGCCCTGCCACCTGGGTGCCGGTAGGCAGCCCCGTCCCCTGTAACATGTGGCCTTAGATAGGGAAATTGGAATTTGGAACTTGTGTGTAAACCGCTCAGAGACCCTTGGGGGTTGGAGCGGTATATAAATCGAATGTATAAATACATATAAATATAAATAAACAGTTGTAATTCTGGGAGATCTCTGGGCCTCACCCAGAGGCTGGCAGTCCTAGGGGTGGGAGTACGTGTGTCTTGGGGCTTCACATCTTGCTCGAAAGCCCCCGGGCAGACAGCCACGGATGGAAACAGGAGAGCAGACTAGGGGGCTCTGTCGGATCCAGAAAAAGTAGATCAGGAAAGAAGAGAGAACGGGAACAAGCTTCTTGGCTCTGCAGGTGGGAGGGGGAGAAACCTGTAGAAACCAGCATGGTGGATCCGGTCTGCAAATCAAGTTTGTTCACTAAGTACTCCACCAAACCCAGGTAACCTCTGTTGGGAGGAAGCAATTTAGAAACATCGGGGGCGAGTGAATACAAGAACATAAAGAAGAGCTATGCTGGATCAGGCCCATCTAGTCGTAAGAACATGAGAGAAGCCATGTTGGATCAGGCCAGTGGCCCATCCAGTCCAACACTCTTGTGTCACACAGTGGCCAAAACCCTGGTGCCATCAGGAGGTCCGCCTAGGGTCCCCAGTACCCAGGTCTGGCCGGGGTTTCCCTCGCTTTGGGGGGTCTCCAATCCGCTGCCAGCCAGCTGGCCAGTGGGGGAAGCCCCACCCCCAAGAGGGACCACCTGGCCTCCCCCCCCTTTCCCAGCAGAGTTAAAGAGACCCTTTAAATGTTGTTAGGGAGAGGTGGGGCCACGTGGCTGGGGCCATGGCCATACAGGAGTCCCCCGCTGGAAAGGTAGGTGACATTTGGCAACCCTATTTCCCAGTGGCGATTCACCACTTGCAATTCAGGCCCGTGCGCCGCCACCCCACTCACTGCAAGCCCTGCTTCACCATCCCCAGGCACTGCTCCCAAATCTCTAGGGCAGGGGTGTCAAACTCCTTTGTTATGAGGGCCGGATCTGACACAAATGAGACCTTGTCAGGCTGGGCCATGTGTGTCATAAAACGTAATGCCAGGTAGCGGAGATATAAACTTTATAAAGGACACAAACACAAATGAGGGGGTTTTCCCCTCTTAAAATTAAAACATGCTTAAAACATTAGCACTCTTGTAATATTTTGGTTTATTTAAATTTTATTTTATTATCAAATTTATACCCCGCCCTCCCCGCGAAGTAGGCTCGGGGCGGTTTATTTAACAGTCTCTGATAACTGACACCTCTTGCTCTGAATTATTGCATCAAAATGTCTGTGCTGTTGCAGTCTCGAGTCTGCTGTTCAGGTATGTCTCTGTCAGCTGCAAACCTACGATGACGCAGCAGCAGCAGAACTGGAAGAAGCAGCAGAAGACAGCCAGTTCCTCTGCGTGACTGACAGAAGCCCTCCGGGGGCCTGATCCGACCCCCAGGCCGCATGTTTGACACCCCTGCTGTAGGACTTTCCCAAACTGGAGTTGGCAACCTTAGTGGCGGGGCCGGGCCCAACTCAGAGCTGCGGCGAGGCTCAGAAGCCGCCTCGAGAAGTAAACACATTAAACAGGCAGACCCCGGCAGCCGTATGATCTATAGCGTCCCCCTCCAAGTCTAGAGGAAAGATATCTCTCCTGATATGAATGGCCTCTCGGGGTGCATAGCATTAGATTGTGCCCGTAACATCATTAGGAAACACGGGCGTAGATTAGGCTTCTCCGAGGCACGCAGCATGCAATAATTAGTAATAAAAGCCCGGGCAGGGGATAAAGAAGCCGAGGAAAAACAGGAAGTCGGCCTTCACGCCAAATAGCCTCCGGCACTGGATTTTTTTTTTTAAGGAAAAAAAACCTTGACAGCAAGAGTGGATTTTA